AAGGTAATTGCAACCACTTTTTATATGCCGTAAATACAATTACTACCATCATCACAATTTACAGCACTAGTCTTTAACAATGATGGTAAATTGTGATTGAATCATTTCTTTCTGTTGTGTTGTTATTGTTATCTGACATTAAGGATTTGTTGATGATGGTGAATGAAAATGAAGTTGTTATTATCCATTATTATTGGTTTAAGCATGTATGTATGTCTAAAAAATAATTTAAAGAGAAATAAAATTTGATCAATTAAATGTTTATTGATAACATCAATTTGCAGGAAAAGGATCAAATTTCTGGGTTGGCAAAAAATTTAGAATTAAATAATCAATAAATCATACATTGGATGATACTTATCTTATTATTACACAACACATGATTCAATTGTTTTTATATTTGCTACTGTTTCCTTTCAAACCATCTCTTCTACTTCACCATTGTCAGTTCCATTGTGGATATCTTTAATTTGTTACAAAATCAATAGTAATTCTTCTTTATTTTTTGATGCTAGTCCTTTGAACTATGGATGATTGGTTTCATTTAATGATCCAATTAATGATTGAATTATCAATATTAATCCCCTGTTTGTCATTAAATTGCTTTTCTTCTTCTTTAAGAATAATTGGTATGATGCGCATAATTCTTCTAGATGGCTTTATTGAACCTAGTTTTTCTTTAATGAAATCTATTCGATTAGTTTAGCTGTTAAGCTAAATGATTTCATTGCCTCACTTAATTTATTATTTTTATCCAAGCTTTCAAAGGCACGATTAGGTTCAGATGGATCTAAGAAACCAGTTTTTCTTAATTCTATTCAAGAGCGCTGGGAGTGAGAACCTGTACTTTCATCAACATAATCAATTGTAGAAAATAATTTCTTTCGAAGCTAGTGGTAAAAAAATTTTAAGTATAAAAAAAATTTTTTACAATACAAATAATATTAATGATTACCATCAAAAACTTGATACAATTCCTAGCGGCAAACTCCCAATGTTTTGTGTGGAAACAGATGGTATAAGTGCTTTTAATGCCTTATTCACCGCTTCAAGTATAGCATCTAAACCCTGGTGTCGGGAGATCCATCCAGACCTAGACACAACAGAATTTTGTTCAATTTTCGGACGAACTTCAGGACAAAGGCGTAATTGTTGTTCTTCATCGGCCACCTCAATTGATTGGTAAATAGGGTGTCTTCTTGCTGACCATATTGGAGCAAAAATTCTTCATACTGCTTCTTTAAGGAGAGGTTGTTTGTTCAGTTAGAGAAAAAAATCTTTCATGTTTGTAATGATGTATCACGAAACTTTTGACTTTAGTCATTGACGTAACTAAAGTATTGACTGGAGGTGATTTCTCACCAGGGCTATTTTGACGATTTGACTAAAATAAAAGGCCCTTGACGTAATTAAAAACGCTTGATACAAGTAAAAAACACTTGATACGAGCAGCAATAACGATAATGATAAATAGGATTATCAAAATTATGTAAAAATGTGTGTCCCGGAGATGAATAAAGAATTATTATATCATCATACGTATATTGCAATGATGCAAGAAGAATAATTATCATGGGAAGTTTACAAATGTTATAATTTGAATTAGAAATTTTATTTAATCAAACTACTTAATTTTTTTCTGTGTATGTTCTTTCAAATAAAAACCATTCTTTTATTATGTTTTTAACTTTGAATTTAACTACAGAACTATGCGTAATAATATTAATAATGTGCTTGAGCTGTCTTTAGTGTCTGAGTTTGAAACAACATAAGTTGATCAATATTGGTACTTAGAACGACCTTTAAATAGCACATAAGTCAGGTTCTGGTACATATTTTTGTAGTTTCTATTCTTATCACCTTTAAATCTTCAGGAATTTCTTTGTTGTTGAATCAAGATAAATCAATCGCTAGAGTTTGGTAATTGTGGAGTTTGTTTTTTAAATAATGCAATTTTCAATTTACATCCTTATAAAAAGTACAAAAATTGTTGTTACACGCCATTCAAAGAAAAAGAAAATAATGTAACCGTTATTATTATCCTCTCATTAAAACACCAAGTCGAATTTTATATTTTTACATAATGTCACATTATAAATTATCATCATCGTTATCAACAGAAAGGAAGGGTTTTGTAATTAAAATTAACAATGAAATGCGTAATAATGCTAATGCTAATTCTGATAAAGAAAATAGAAAAGATTATTTTTTTTCATTGGTCAAAAAAAAAAGGAGCTTTCTGAAAATGAAAAAGAATTTTGTAGAGAAAGGTTTATTTATGAGTATGAATTACAGAATGCAACATATAAATCAGGAAAACCAAAAGAATGTAACAAGTGTAAATTGACAAGATACTCTGATAGGTTCTGTGAAGGTTGTATTAGTTTACAATTACAGAGTCTTTTCACCACTTGGACTTCTGGAAATAACATAGTTGATAACTTTATTCAACAATGTCAAATGAAATCATCACTTCCTAGACATATTTTAGAATGGATACCTTTTGAGCAATTTGGTAATGTAACAAAGTTGACAGAAGGTGGATTTAGTTCGATTTTTACTGCTACATGGACAAGAGGACAAATAATTGATTATGACGAAAATAAAAAGGAATTTAGTTATTTAGAAAAGCAATTAGTAGTATTAAAAAGTTTAAATGATTCAAGTAATCCAGGAAAAAGCTTTTTTGATGAGGTTGGTAGTTGTCATTTAAAACAAAATAAACAATACTGTATTATATAATAAATATTAATCGATTTTATTTAATTTCAGGCAATGAATTATTGTAAAATTAAAGCACCATCAATTATTCAGTGCTATGGTATAACCAAATTCCCAGATAATGGAAATTATGCAATTGTTTTACCTTATGTTTCAGAAGGAAATTTAAGGGGTTATTTACAAAAAAATTTAACATTAAAAGACAGAATTACAATATTTTATTATTTATGCTTTGGATTAAATGATATACATCAGAAAGATTTAATCCATTGTGATTTACATAGTGGTAATATATTATTGCAAGGAGGTAATTGTTTTATTACAGATTTGGGATTATGTGGACCAGTTGATGAAAAATCATCAGATAAAGTCTATGGAATTGTATCATATGTTGCACCCGAGGTACTTAGAGGTGAAAAGAACACCAAAAAATCTGATATCTATAGTGTTGGAATGTTAATGTGGGAAATATTTGCAGGTCATCCACCATTTGACAATAGAGCTCACAATCATTGTTTAATTTTTGATATATGTGCAGAAGGTTTACTACCACCAATATTGCCTGGAATGCCTGATGATTATGCGCAAGTGATGCAGAGGTGTTGGGATATGGATCCATTAAAAAGACCAACTAGTGAAGAGCTTTATGATTTTGCTAGAAATAAACGTAGTGAAGTTTTTAAAAATGATAATAATATCAGTAATAGTAACAGTAGTGGTAGTAATTTGCAACAAGTACATGAATCACATCCAGGTGCATGTCATACAAGTAGAATATTAGATGAAGAGATTGCTAAATCAAAAGGCTTGAAAATTTATACAAGTAATGATAGTTCGTTAAATAGTCTTGATTTTAACTCTTTTCTCTAGAATGTTGAAGGTAAATAAAAATTTCATTTTTAATTAATTAATTGGAACTTACTATCCATTAATTATTACTAACAATATTTTTAATTGCATTAGGTTCTAATAATTAAAAAAAAGAATCGATGAATGACTAATTTTAATCTCCTAAATTATTTGTTATAATTATTTGTCTTTTTAATTTATCTTTATTTTATTTCTTAAAGCTAAATAAATTTTCGCAGTTTTTTGATTCTTTGTTAAATTAAAGTTATTGCATGCGGAGCATGCAAATAATGGAAAAACCAGAATGGCATTCTTTGATTGGCTTGTGGCACGTCAGAGCCACAAGCCAATTATTTAATTCATTCTTCGATTTTTTAGTTAATTTTATTAACGTGATTATTGACATGTGATGCATGCAATAACTGGTTTATTGTATGTTGGAGTAAACGCTTATTCAGAGCTTAAAATGCACATTCTTTTTTATCATTATTAAATAATTTTTCAAATCCTAAATTTTATTGTTCCATTCATAAAAATGCCAAAAGCAACACGAGTAAGTAAATAAATATTTGTTGTGTTGTCAAATTGTAAAACTAAAATTCTTGTCTGTTGTACCATAGAAACAAATATCACCCAACTTTGACATGTCATTTCTTCCAACCGATCAACAAATAAAAGACATTCAAGAAGCCAGTATACCATTAACTACGAAAAAAATACTGAATTCTGGGTTAAGATTTTAACTAACTATAGAGAAAAACATCATAATGGAATTTCAATTGAATCGGTTAATGACAAAAAAATATTAGAAAAACAATTATGCGAATTTGTTGTTGGTGTGCGAAGAGATGATGGCGAAGAATATTTGTCATTAAAAAATTGTATGGCTGCAATTGATAGACATTTGAAAAGTCACAGTGTAATTAAAGATCAAATTACCTTAAATGGAAACGCGTGCAAGCAAAATTATCCAGACTTATATAAAACTTTAAATGGAAAGCTACGTGATCTTAAGAAACAGGGTAAGATTTCTACAAAGAAGGCTGACACACTTTCACCAGATGAAATCAAACAAATTCTGAATCACCCATCAACATCAAAAGATACACCCGAAGGTCTTTCTAGGAGAGAGCTTATATGGATCTGTTTAGTATTTTGTCCTCGTGGTGGTGAACATACAAAAATGTTAAAATGTCAGTTTGATATATGTGATGATATGGTCGTTTTCACCAAATTTCATCAAAAAAATGATCAAGGTGGTTTTGATGGTAATAATGAATCACTAAATATCCCATGTCCACATGATAAAGAACATTAAGGAGCTTATGATGACATTATATCTTATTTAGTAAACAACCAACACCATGTATTACAAAGAGTTTTATTTAGAAGTTAATTCATTCAATTCAGGCTAGTTGTTTTATTTATATTTCACTTTTCATGGTAGTTAGTTTTTCAAAACTAGTGCATCTAATAAATTTTATGATTTTAGCAATCAATGATGATGTATGGTATCTTGATCATAAAATTGGAACTGAGAAAATCAAGAATTACATGAAGACAATATGTTTCGATGCTGGTATAAATCTAAATGGAAGAAAATAGTCAACCATTCTGGTTGTGCTACTAGTCTAAATTGGTTATATCAAAGTGGTGTTGATGACACACAAGTGATGACAATCTCTGGTCATAAAAGTCTCAAGGGTGTGAGATCGTATATTGCACCCACTATATATCAAAAAGCTAGTAAAATAAGCAATGTTCTTCAAATGGCATTAACACTGCAAGAATCATCAACTTTGAATAAAACACCTCAAAAAAATACAGGTTCAGACGTAAGTCATTTTAAATCTTCTAAAAATTAATATTTACATATATATTTTATTTTTTATATTTTGCATTTTCTTTAGAAACATGTTAAATTTATTGATTCTTTTGATGATGAAGAGCCTGAAGATATCGAAGATGAGGATAATTCTGATGTAAATATATATATATATATTTCATTCATTCAAAATAATCTTATTTCCATTTTTTCAAACAGGAGCCGGATGACATGAGTGATAAAGGCAGTGGTGTTAAATCATTAGGTGTAAGTATATGATAATATGCACACAAGTATATGGATTTCTATTTTATTGTATTAATTATATTATATTATTTTAGAAATTTACACATGTTACTTGACCATATAAAAATAAACCATTTTGCTCACCCTTAAGAGAAATCGTCAATGATGCTATCAATAACAACACTCAAACAATAAATAGAGATCTTTCTAATAATAATAGCAACCAAACCAATAATATTAATGTTAAAAATATTTATTATAAAAATTGCTACATAGTTAATAAATGAATTGATAAAAATAAGTTGATAATATTTTATTCAAAAAACGCAAAAAATTTTTTAAGAACTAAAAAAAAATAATAAATGATAATAATAAATAATAAATAATAATAAAATAACAATAAAAACATTCTTATTGTTTGTTAAAACACTACTAAATATAAAAATTGGCACTCCAAAATTCCCAGACATTCCAAAATTCCAACAGGCATTCCAAAATTTCCAACTGACATTCCAAAATTTCTTGTTTATTAGATGTAACATTTAATAATAGAAATAAAGGAATATACATTTTAAACTCAGAATTAGTGTTTTAAACTCCCGACATTCAATAAATTTTTTTTGATCAACATGGAATTTTATAAGAAAAAAATCGTGCTTTCATACACAAACTTGCATCAAATTGTTATTTGAATCATAAAAAATAACAAATATATGAAAAAACCTTTATTTCAATGTATTTTTGCCAGGGTAAACATATACCACTAAGTGATAATCTTAACATGAAGTTGGTCTACCAGTTCTATAAGTTCTATAATAATAATAAATTAAAGAAATTGGATAACATGCACAATCTCAATCTTTGGGCTAATTTTTTTTACATAATAACAATAAATGCAATAGTTAAGTTCTAATTTCTAACCTTTAAATGTTTATTTTTTTAAATTACATAATTTGTTTATAGAAAAGTATTAACTTCAAATTTGCTTTTTAAAG